GAAAGTTTGAAGTGGTTAGAGAAGAAAGGCTTTGGGGCTGCTGCGTTCCAGGCAGGGCGGAGGGGCAGGGGCTCTCCAGCCCGGCTTGTTTGTATTTGTTCTTGTCTACTCACAAGATCGCTAAACACACATTTAACAAGTGGTGAAACTGTCTCGCAGGCCGATCTCTCCCAGGGTTCATGAGAAGAGGCCTGGCACATTAGCATTGCTGGGGGAAGGGGAGGGGGAGGACAGGCCTTTTGAAGGGCTGCTGTTTTGGGGCTGAGCGAGGGAAGGGCTCCTTGAGCGGGCCAAGTCCCAAACAAAGGCATTGTGTTCCCCTGAGCCCTGGGGATGGCCCCGGGGGAAGGCCAGGACCTCGCCTCACCAGCCATAGGTTTTCCCATCCCGGCTCCTCTCGTTCCTTAGCACGGGTGAAGCCCTGAGGCCACCCGAGTTTTTCCAGMGGCCGGAGATGGGAGCGGGGCCGGCACCTCCGGGGCTGCTCAACCCATCCCTGAGAGCCAGAGACAAGGARCCAACCCAGCCAGGGCTGCAGCGGGCATGGGCACCATCCTGTGCCACCGCTGCTCGCCTTGTCCCTGTCACCCTCACCTTGTCCCCAGCACCCTCACCTTGTCTGCATCACCCTCGCCTTGTCCTCATCACCCTCACCTTGTCCCCAACACCCTCACCCTGTCCCCAACACCCTCACCTTGCTCAGTCACTCTCACCTTGTCCTCAACACCTTCACCTTGTCCCTGTCACCCTCACCTTGTTTGCATCACCCTCACCCGGTCCCCAACACCCTCACCTGTCCCCAACACCCTCACCTTGTCCCCAACACCCTCACCTTGTCCCCATCACCCTCACCCTGTCCCCAACACCCTCACCTTGCTCAGTCACTCTCACCTTGTCCTCATCACCCTCATCTTGTCGCCAACACCCTTACTTTGTCCCCAACACCCTCACCTTGTCTGCATCACCCTCACCTTGTCCCAGTCACCCTCACCTTGTCCCTGTCACCCTCATCTTGTCCCTGTCACCCTCTCTGGGTCCAATGGCATTAAATCTCTGCTGCTCTCTGTGCAGCCCCAGGGGAGCCCWGACCTCTCTTCAGGCTCCTGGACAAGCAGTGACCCCATTTTTCAGCAGATTTGGGGCAATATTTATCATCACTCATCGTGTCTTCCCTGCAAAGCGAGTGCCCAGGGAAGCAGCATCATTATGGGTGGGGAAACTGAGGCATATCAAGGGCCCAAACCCCTGGTGGTGTCTGATGCTAAACCATCAAGATTCTCTGCTGATTGCAGGATGAAGATCCTGTTCCTGGCTGTCCCCCATCCCTGGGGACACCGAGTGGCACAGACCCAAGGGCACAGCAGCACCTCTGAGCTGGGCAGGTGCAGCCTCATGGTTTCCATCCCACGGGATTTGCAGCGCTGAGCCGCGTTCCCAGAGCCGCCGCGGGGCAATAGGTGTGAGGACACAGCCATCCCTGCCGGGGTGGTGAGGGCAGTGCCCAATTTCAGTTCTGGGATCTGTCCCATCCCTACCTGGGGAAGGGTGAGGCCACAGCTTGGTGGGAAAATGTTTTTTTTGGTTTTTTTTTCCCTCCCCTGTCCTGCCCGTAGCGGCCGGCGGGGCGGGCTCTGCGTTGCGTGGGCTGGGGAAGTTGAGGGGAATTCGCAATTGTGRTGCCTCTGGTTTGGAGCAGAGCCACAGCAAACAATCCTCTGCTGGCCCTGCTCCAGCTCTGCCAAACCACCGAGGTGATACCGTGTGTCCATCCCTCCGCGCTTYCACCCCAAATCACCCSCAAAAACCCCGTGGGTGATGAATCCCCGCTCTCATTCCGCAGCCAGCGATCCCGCCCRGCATCCCTGAGTGGCCTCTGCTTTGGAAATCGCAGCTGCGGCTGCGGCGGGCGGCGCTGGGAGCCGGGGTGAGGAGGTGATGTTGACTGAAGATGTGCGGACAGGGCATTCCAGGCACGCACGGGGTTAAACCAGAGGTGTCAGTTCACGGGGAGGTAACAGATAAGTCCCGCTCCTCCGCTGCYTTCTGGCTTTCCAGAAGCCTTGCCCTCCCTCCCACATTCCAGCTGCTGCAGCTTTTCACAGCTGGCCGCTCTCCTGGGACATTTCCCAGAGCTGAGAAGGCAGGAGGGGAGGGAGAAATGAGGGAGGGGGGGCTGATGGCTGGGCTGACCATCACCCCTCCAGGAAAACTCAGTCTGGAGCCCCTGATCCCCAGGACAGGCCCGGCACGGACAAACCTGGGCAATCCCAGCTCCCTGGCAGGGATCCACCCTCAATCCTGGCCCGGAGAGTTTTTCCTGCTGCAGGGAAGGGACATCAATCTTTGCAGCTCGCTTATTCCTTGGCCTCTGAAGCAGGGGGAGCCAATTAGCGCTGGGTGTGATGGATGGCTTAGCCCCGTTCTCGTGACACCCATCCTCTGGAAACTGTTCCCACCGCCGAGAGGCACAGCCAGCGGGGCTGGGGGCCAAGCTCTCACCGGTTCCCGAGCTCCAGAGGGTCCCACAGGGGTCCCAGGGATGGGGACAGGCATTGCAGCAATGTTGCTGTGATCCCAGAGGGGAAACTGCCCCGAGCACGGGGCCAGGGTTGTTAATTCAGGGCTTGGGGAGAGATTTCCTYTGATAATTCCCTGGTTTGGCTGAGGCAAAGCCTGGAGCTCTCCAGGGAAGAGGGAATGGGATCTGGGCGAGGGTTGGTCACCCACTGCTTGTGGCTCTGCTCTTTGGGGTCGCTGTACCGTGGGAATTGGGTGCAAAGGTGTCCAGGAGAGGCCAGGAGAGGCAGAAACCCCATTCCTGCACCCCAATCTCCCCTTCCCTGCAGTGGGGAAAGGTCTGGCTGCTCCCTCCCACGGGAGAGGGGTGACACTCCCGAAACCCAGCTCCCATTTATTCCTTCCCTGTCATTAAACCGCCCCATCAAGGGTCACAGCACCATCTCTGCTTCATCTGGGGTGGTTCAGATGCCCCTCACAATCCCCCCTGGGATCCCTGGGGTCGATTATAAACCACTCTCCAGGAGCACAGGCTGGAAAACAGATCCGATTACAGGAGAAGTGGGTTTCGGGGCCCCCGCTCTGTTCATAATGAAGTGTAATCCTAGAAAAACATGTTGCCAATTACACTTCAATTGAACCCAGATAATGATGCTTAGAAAGGGCCCAGAAAAGATGGAGTCTGGACAGTGAATTCCTTCCTAATGGAGAAGAAAAGTTTTCCTCTGCGGCAGGTCTGGGCTCTGCTTGGTTCAGGCTCGCTGTGAGACGAGCAAGAGCCTGAAACAACCAATCTCRGGATCCCATTGAAATGGTTTTATCGGTGGAAAGAGCATTAATCTCTCAAAAACACATGTTTATGGGAAGTTTGGTTTGGAGACGTGTGTGTTTCTAACTGAAATCACTTTGGGAAGGGAGGAGGAGCAGGTCTCAAAACTGCTAAAATAACACTTTTCTRATTCTTCTGCTTCAAAGTAACTTTTCATTTGGAAATGTAAGCTGATAACAGCTCGGCTTCTTGACCACTTCTCATAGTGAAAACAAAACTTCAGGATTAGAGAAACAAAGTGCCGTGACCTAAAGCGAAGGTTTCACTTCTTTTGGTTTCTGCTCTCTTTTGCAGTTTACAAACACCGCCGAGAGCTCAGTTTTCCACTCCAGCACAGGACGGTCGGTTCAGGTCCCGGTTCAGGGAGGAGAGGACGGTGCGATCCGGTGCCAAAAACTTCTCGGGGGGAGGCCGTGCTTTGCACCGGCGTGGGCGAAGGGCAGGCGGGAGCCGGGATTTGGCTTTTCCGGAGCTGCTGGGGAATCGCAGACACCTCGGGGTTGGCGGGTGCAGCGTGGGTGAGCTGGCAGAGATGGCTGAGGGAGATAGGGAGCACCYCGGGAGGCCACAGGGGATGGCTGGAGGGGTGGCTTGGCCGGCCCGAGCGGCGACGGGCTGTTATCGCAGCCACGGTCTCTGCGAAAGGGCTTTGGGAAACCCACGTGTTGCCAGATCTCATCGCCGATTATTTTTTTCAAAATAAAAGGCATTATTTTCGTACTGGGAACCTCCACTTCAGCGCTCTCCCTCCTCTCTTTTTTTTTTTTTTTTTTTTTTTTTTTTTTTTTTTTTTNTCTCTCTCTCTCTCCCACACACGCACACGTTTTTTGCTGCCTTGGGGGATTTTAGCAGCGCAGGGCTCTGAAAAACAGATTCCTCCCTCCTTCCTGCAGCACAGGAGAAGGGGAGATGCTCTCTAGATGATGGACCGGGGGTTAAACTTCCCAGAAAACAACGATTCATCCCAGTGTCGCAAACCCTAAAACCGGGCTCGGGCCGGTTTTGTTTCACAGGATAGGTGTCAAATGACCAGTGAGCTGGCACTCGCAGAGGCTCCGAGGCTGTGGGAGCGTGGCAGAGGGCCGAGCTCCCGGCGGGACCACCGCGGCGTGGTGGCGGAGCCATCCCGAGCGCGGTGCCACCGCTGCCACCCTGCCCTCGGCCCCTGATCGGTGCCAACCGAGGGCCCTTTGAGCGGCGTCCTCAGGAGCCGCTTTCCGTCGGGATCAGGAGCCCGCGAAGAGCGCGGGGCCGGGCAGACATGTGTGTGCGTGTGGGGCTGGATGTTGATTTTTCCCTGAAACAACTCAAGGCTTTATCAGTCCCATCTCTTTCCCACGGTTTTCTGTTGCCAGTGAGGTCACTGGTCCCTTTAAACTGGGGCTGAGGCCAATGTGCAGCGGGTGGAAGGGGGGCCGCGGGCAGGACGGGGAGGGGGGGACATGAGACGGTTCACACAGACTGTTCCTTTTACAGGAAGACTTGGGATTTCGACCAGCGAGCGGGAGGAGGCGGGGGGGCCCTGGGAACCGGGGAGCGCCGGCGCGGCCGCGTAATCCGTCACTCCCGGGAGATGGTGGCTCATTAACCCATTACCCGGGAGGTGGGGACGTGCCGGGAGGGAGCCAGGGAAGGAGAGCCGGGGGTGGGAAAAGCAGAGCGGGCAGGGGAGGAGCCGTGCGGGGCCGGAGCGGCGGAGCACGGGCAGGGACGGCACTGCCCCGAGCGCGGCGGGCGAGGACGGCGGTGGCCACCGGGGCCACGCGTGGGGCAACCTCGCCGAGCCCACCGGCCTCTCCCCGCGCCAGGATGAAGCGGCTCTGCGAGGAGAGCTCGTCCGACACCGAGTCTGACGGCACCATCGACGTGGGCCGGGAGGAGGAGTACAGGTGAGGGCAGGCTCCGTCCCACGCGGGGTTTTGGGGGCTCCCCGGAGCTGCTCGGGGTGGCAGCGCTCGGTGCCTGCGGAGCATGGCACGGAGGGCACCGGGGCAGCCACCGCTGCACCAGGGCACGGCACGGAGGGCACCGGGGCCGCACCGGGGCACGGCACGGAGGGCACCGGGGCTGCACCGGGGCACGGAGGGCACAGGGGCTGCACCGGGGCACGGCACGGGAGGGCACCGGGGCAGCACCGGGAGTCCCTCGCACCTCGCCCAATCCCTCGGGATCGGGCTGGTCCTGCGGGGCGCTGCCAGGATGACCCCACAGTGGCCGCGTGGGCTGGTGCTGGCCACGGCACTGACGCCACAAGGAGACCGAAGTGGTTAAACATCCAAGTGTTAAAGCTGTAGGGCAGCGGGAGCCCGTTCTGTGCACCCCCGGATGGGGCAGCCCCAAAGAGCAGAGGCACCCCCAGCTGCCTGACACCCCTGCGCTCCCGGCAATCCAGAGAATGTGGAACAAACTGGGAGGTTTTTCATGAGAAAAACGCTTCTGCTYTGCTGATGCATTCGTAACGCACCAGCTGGGGCTGTGATGTGTTCGAGAGGGAGCCCGAGCGGGGAAGGGCTGCCCTGGTGCCCCTCTGTCCCATCGCTGCCGAGCTGCGCTTTCAGCTCTGCGGTTTTGCGGTTTGTGAGGGAATGCTGAGGACGGGACCCGCGTGTGGCTCCCCGGGCGATGCCCTCAGGGCTCCCCTGGCAAAGGGCATCCCCAGCTCCGCGGGCAGTCCCGGTTCCCAGGCTGGCTCAGCCCTCCCAGGCTCCGAGGGTGCAGACGGCGCAGGGGATGAAGGAAAGGCTCTGTTATTTGTTCCCATCCAAAAATCAGCTGCTTTTGAACTCTTGTTTCAGTAGCCAAGTGTYCCCCTCCCTCCACATCCAGCGAGGCCTTGGATTAATTCATTCYCTCTTGCTCTTTGGTATCTTGAGCGGAGAAATTGCCTGGCTGGAGCCAAGCTCAGGTTCTCTTGGGACTAAATTCATGACTCTGCTTCTGACACAGTCAGAGCAGAGTCGGGCACGSCTGACACAAAATGTCCTGCAGAAATTCCCTGAGCCCTGATGCAGTTTCCAAGTGCATCAATATTTAAGCTACTTYCCTGCTGCAGGTGAAATACATCCCACCTTTTCACATCAGTGCAGAACACCGAGTCTACAGTACCCCGAGGAATAAAATATTGGAATTGTCGCAATATTTTATTTSAATGACCAGTAATGATGAACTTTTAATCTCTCTCTGGCGCTGCTAATGTGTTTGTCTTCTGGAGGCAGTTGTAGAACCAGGCTGGCTGTGATCTGGTGATATTTATATTTATATTTATATGGGTGAATGTTGTTCCTCATGGCACGCAAATCTATGGCCAAAAGAGCTGTTCCTGCCCTGCTGAGGTTACACCCCGAGTAATGCYATCCTGCACGGGATGCTGGTGGATCCAGAAAAAAATCAAGCACTTCCAGGTGGGGAATGAGAAGGAGTGATTAGAGCAGAGAGAGGCTGCCTGGCTGGGGTTCCCAGCCCATTACCCATGAATGGTTTGGGCAAACCAGTTTTCCTGTAGTCAGGGGGTGAGTCACGTCGGGTGYGAGGCTTGGAGCAACTTTAGGCTCCGAGGTCACTGCAGAAATGTGAGATCTGCTCAGTTCACAGCCAAAGATCTGCTGTGAGTGATAAAACAGAGCAAAGAGCGTTGCAGAAATTTTAATCACCGGAGAATGTGTTCACACTACCTTTTATGTGGTTGAAATCCATCAGACGTATTTTTAAAATGCATTTTGCAGTGAGATGGGTGTTGATMTCCACATCTGGAGCTGAAGCTCACAAAGAGCAGCACATCTGCAAAGAGAACTTCAAAATTCTCTGCTCCTCCTTGAATGCCTGCCCTGATAGGAGATTTCAGCTCCTACCCTCTGCACCCACAACACCCCGATGTCGGTGAAGAACCGATTTTCACACCAAAATTCCTCATTCTGTGCGCCTGTGTCTGCTGGAGATGCGTGTTAGTGCTTGTGGAGCCAGCCAGCACCTCTGCCCAGAGAGAGCCCACCCAGCAGACATTCAAATAGGGGAGCTGCATGGAGATGAGCAGAGCAGGCAGCAGAAGAACGTGTTATTGTGTGAAACCACTTCTGAAAGCGCCTCGCTTGGGCCTATTTTTAATAGGYTGAGTCGGGTCTAGTTTTGGGCTGGCTGCAGACAGCGCTGTCTGTGCAGGAAAATCCTTAACAGGCTCGAATTAAAATGCTTYGTCAAACTGAAAAACATTTGGATGGGGGTGAACCCAAGTGGCCCTTTCCAGATTTGGGTGTCTGACAGGAGCTCCAGCCGGGATTGTGGATGGATGAGCATTCACATCCCTGCTCTGAGTTTTGTAAGGCRCAGGATCAGCCCTGAGCCAGTTCCACTCTCCAGAAGGACAAACCCTGCTTGGGGAAGGTGGGAGGGGGCTCAGCCATCCTCATCCCCCTCCCCAGCCCAGGGGTTGCGCTCCAAGGAGTTTCCCACGCCTGGTTATCCATCCTTGTGGACATTTCACCTCCGTGGGGACCTGAGGGTTGAATTTTTSCTCCCTCTGCATGTCTGGTGCTGAGCTTTGGTGTCTTTAGCCTGGTGGGCTCAGTGGGGTTTGTGGGACCCTTTTCCTTAGCCTGTCCCCACCATGAGCCAGCAGGAGGATCCCTGCTCCATCCCCTCCTGCCAGTTGTCCTCCCTGCCCCTCTTGGAATGATTCAGGGCTCTCCGTGCATTCAGAACATCCCAGCCCACCCCAAAAACTGCGGTTTGGGAAGCGACTCTCCGGGAAGCCCTCAGAAACCACATCAGTGCCGCCGCTGGCCTCACCCTGAGGAGCAGCCAGCCCTCCCTGGGTGGGAGCTCAGATCCCTCCTGCTATCACAGCTCCGAGATGCAAAGCCCTGCAGACAGGGCAGGCTCAGACACGAGAKCCAGGAGGTTCACACGCAGAGGGAAAAAGGCCATGACTCCTTTTCCAGCCCTGTGGAGATGCCATCACGGGTTGGGATTGATGAATTGTGCCTGGGAGTGGATGGAGAGTTTGATTTGGGAAATCTGTCCCAGGATGGTGGGGGATTCTCAGAGAGGAGAGAGTGGGATTCAAGTCTCTGCTTGGCTCCCCACCCCCAATTCCTGAGCTCTGTGTTGTGGGTAAAAATGAGTTAGAAACCGCAGAAGATATTTTTTTGGAGGGTGGGGGGAGGAAAATGCAGATGTGTGCAGAACATCTGTGCAACAGAGTCTGCTCTCCAGCCAGTGCTGGGAATGATCCCCTCTCCTTCCTTTCCAGCCACGTTTCCAGGTCTGTGTCTCCCACTACGACATCTCAGATCCAAGCCAGGAAGAAGAGGAGAGGGGTGAGTGTCCTTTAGGATGAGCAGGGCAGCTGTGCCCCTGCTCAGGCTGGCTGTGTGTGCCAGGGATGTCCCCTGTGTGCTGTTAGCCTGTCCTTACCACTAGGACACAGCACAAAATCACTTTTACCCTGCTCCTGCTCCATCCCCTGCACAACTCCCTCCAAAACCATTTTTTTTTTTGGCTTTTTTTGACCTCAAATCTGGGGAGAGCAATTTCACCCKTTCGCATTTCTTCACTCAACTCTCRCATCCCAAAAATTTGYGTACATGGCCCTTTCAAAGCACTTCACTCCACCTGGAGGGCTTTAGATCTGTGAGCTGTGGCTGTAAATAATGGTGATTTCTTTATTTTCTCCACTTGGGAATCTCTGCAGATCATCGAGAAGCGGCGCCGTGACCGAATCAACAGCAGCCTCTCGGAGCTGCGGCGCCTGGTGCCAACAGCCTTTGAGAAGCAGGTGGGTGGGTGTGGGTGAGAGCTGCAGGGTTTGGGGTGCCCTCCTGTGAGAGCTGCAGGGTTTGGGGTGCCCTCCTGTGAGAGCTGCAGGGTTTGGGGTGCCCTCCTCGGAGAGCTGCAGGGTTTGGGGTACAGCCCTCAGAATGAGAAAGGCACAAACTTGCTCCAGCCTTTCCTACCATCCTCACTCCAGATGGGGGAACCGGGGTGGTGAAATGATATTAGAGAATATTCAGGAGCCCTGGGGAGGGTAAATTCAATCTAGGAAGGGTTTTGCAGWTATGAGGAAGCACAGAAATAAGGATTTTTCAATCTGCATTGGGAAGGAGCTCTTTTTTCTGACTTGATGTGAAAAACAGAGCCCTGCTGGATGCCCTGTGCCATTCTGAGCACTCCTGGGCTTCRGGGAGGAAATCATTGGTCACACCCTGACTCCTGAGAGGCACAAAGCCCTGAACCATAAAATGATGAATGGCTTTTTCTTTCTGCTCCCAACACAGGGGTCTTCCAAGCTGGAGAAGGCAGAAATTCTGCAAATGACAGTGGATCACTTAAAAATGCTCCACGCCACAGGAGGAGCAGGTAAGAACTGCTCTGATGAGCACATGGGTGAGGTGAGGGTGGAAAGCTGGAAGGAAAATTCCCCATCAGTCACAGCAGTGAGCTCTGCCTGCTTCCCGAGGGAAATACCTTTTGAGGGAGGGCAGATGGACATTTTCCTACAGATGGCTCAGCATCCCATGCGTGACATTGTGATATGTGGGATGGTGACCCCCCTGCAGCCCCACAGGGATGGCACTGKTGGTGTCACACCCGCTGCTAAAAGCTGTTCAGCCAGAGACTCGTTTATTCCCGCTCAGAAATGGAGCCTGCTTCCAGAAAAAMCATATTAAACTCTTTACCTCCTCCCTGGGATACATTTCCTGCGGAGGCTGAATTCTGCATGAGGACTCTGCAAATAAACAAGGCCTTTTTTTCCTTTCTGTTCTTTTTTTTTTTCTTTTTTGTGTGTGTGTCTCTTGGTTGTTATAAGAAGAGAGAGGGAGCCCTGTGCAAAATTCAACAAAGGTCTTATTTGTACTGAGACCTTGGTACAGACCCTCTGTCCTGTTCCAGTTAACAGGATGGAGATCACAGCTCCAGTAAAGAAGCCTCTGGCTTGCTTACCACCCAGTTTTGGCTTGCTGGGGACATTGCTGGCATCCAGGCTTTGGTTCAGGGCTGTAACTTGGTCTGGAACATTTGTTTAGATATTCAGTTTGACTGCACTGCAACAAAGGGYGGCATTGTCACGAGAGACCCCGTCAAGCACAGTGGTCCAGCGCTTCACTGTGCTGTGACATTCTCTGCTTTATTGCTTATGGACTCATGAAGCTGCGAGTTGGGAGCAGAAACCTCAAAATCAGCCGTCAGTTGCTGATTTCTGTGGTTTTGAGCTTTTTCCCCCAGCTGTTTTGGTTCTGCCACTGCTCTGTGACTTTGGAGTCTAAATTTTGGGAGGCAGGCAGAGGAAGGAGACCAAACCCAGTGTCCCTCCAACCCACAGCCACGTCTCCAGCAGTGATAACTGAGAGAATCCAAGGAGAAAAAATTCGTCTTTTCTTAGCATAGCTAATGAAACCTCCTGCTGGTCTCACGTGGAGTGAGAGGCTCCCTGACCCTGGCAGGTTTATCGTGGTGAGATAACCGCAGACGCCGCTCTCACGCACGCAAACGTCCGGTCCCTGGGGACACCCACTTGGCCACCCGCTTCAGGAATATCACACAGCAGCAAAGTGCCTCAAGTGAAACACAGTGCGTTAGAGAGGGCAGTGAAACCCAAATGCATTCCTGAGCTCTGCACGGCCTTACTGACACCCWACTGAYACCCATGTCCTCTCTCTCCAGGCTTCCTGGACGCCCGGGCGCTGGCCGTGGATTACAGGAGCATCGGCTTCCGCGAGTGTCTCACCGAGGTTGTCAGGTACCTGGGCATCCTCGAGGGTCAAAACGCCGCCGACCCCATCCGCCTGCGACTCCTCTCCCACCTCAATAATTACGTGGCGGAAATGGAGCCCTCGCCCGTGGCCACGTCCCTGCTGCCCATCCAGACGTGGCCGTGGTCCTTCCTGCACGGCTCCGCGGGCCCGGTGCAGATCCCCAGGAGGGAGGCAGCTCCCGCTCCGCTTGTTTTGACTGCATCATCCCTGGCTTATCCGAGCCCTGCGGTGAGGCCGGCCCCGCTCCGCCGTGTCCCCGGGGAGATGCTGCCGTCCCGCCGGAGCTTTCTGGCCGGCAGGATGGGCTCCTCCAGCCGGAGAGCCAGAGGTGCCGGTTCATCCGCGGCCGTGCCGGCCGTGCCCAGGATGCCGTCGCCGGCGGGAGCGCTGAGAGAGGGCTCGTCTAAGAGCAGCCAAATCGCCACRTTCCTGTTCTCCCCGGCCTCTGCCGGCATCCCGGTGCCGCCGGCTTACGCGGCGCCTCCCGTCTTGGGCGCAGCCGCGCAGGGACCCGGGATCAGGGTTGGGACATCCAGGATCTGCCGCTCGTGGGCGACTGAAATCGGGGCTTTCTGACRCTGCCTTCCCCTCCGGAGACAGGAGTCCTTCAGCACTCATCGCCCACAGGGCTGAGAACGAACTCGGTTGAAAAGGCATCTTTCCTGCTTTGCAGAAGCCAAGGATCCATAGAGAAAATTCTCTCTGCTCTTCCCTCTCTCCTCGCAGCGYCCTCCTCGCCTCGCCATCACACGTCCTCTCCCTCGTGACGCCTGCAAATGTAAATCACATCCGATTCTGTGCCCTTGTCTGGACGAGGCCGTGCTCCAGACCCTTCTGGCTACGAGGGAGGGGGCACACGCAGATCCCAACCCCAGCAAGCCCCTCAGCAGAACCCAGCACTGCTCTCCTTTGGAAAACAGCCAGCCTTGAAATACTGTCTTATTTCCCCTGGGACCCGGAGCTGCCAGCCAGACTTGCTTGTGCTGATTCCTTGCGATGTGTCCCCCAAGCTGCAGCAYCTAATTTTGGTGTGGTGGGATGGACACAGCTCACAGCCCGTGCCCAGCGCTGCTGGCACCCACCAGGCAGCCTCCAGCACCCCCAGCTCCCGAASAGAACTGGCTGCCTGCTAATCCCTGGGCTTTCCTCTCCGCATTACCAGCTTTTCCCACTTACRTGCCCTTAAGGTGGAGTGAGGCAGCGGCTTAACAGGGCTGGTTCCCACAGCCCGGCTGAAATCCCGYCGTGGCTGCAGGGGCTGTGCTGGGTTCCAGGCACAAACCCCGCCGGAGCAGCCGCCCGGGCGCAGCCCTTGCCCCGCGCCGAGGTGTGAAGAGGTGACACTGAGGATTTCAAAGGGATGCCTGTCACGGAGGGGAAGGTTCTGGCGGCCAAAGTGAGAAGAAAATGCCTTTYCCTCTGCCAGTCTCCCAGCTGGAGCCGTCTCTCCTCCACCCCCTGCTGAACAGCCGTGACTGAGAAGGGGGAAAATGTGCTGGAGCAGCCTGAATTTGAAGTGCCTCCCTCGTTCTCCCAGAGCCCTCTCCTCCCACAATGTCTCTGTTTTCTTTCTCCAGCACCACGTTTGGGTCTCACACCTCTCATCCCTCTCCCTGGGCCGGGACCAAAACCCACTGAGGTGTCACTGCACTTGTCCTGAGTCCTGAGAGCTTTCCCTGCCTCGCCCTGTGTGCCCCTAGATGACTGACACAGCAGATCACACCTCTGCTCCTCCAGCTGGCCTCCCCTCCTCTTTTTTTGGGCACAAAGAACAGAAACTTGAAGCTTTCAAGCTACCCCGCTCCTGTGCCACATCCYATGGTGGCAGGAGAGGGTCTCCCAGTGCTCCCCCTCCCCTGAGCAGCCCCTGCTCCCTGCATTTGTGCCTTGTCTTGCTGGGCTACACCTTCAGAATATCCCAGCTGCATGCCCACCCCTTACCCCCTCTCCGCAGCACTGTGACAAGGAAAGAGAGAAAAGGTCAGTGCAAAGAAAGGTGAAAAAGAGGGAGAAGATCTCTTTTGAATGGGAGAGACTCTTCCCATGCCTCAGGTCAGAGGTGCAGCCGGTTGGGCTGTGTGGATGAGCTCTTGTTTTCCTCTCTGCAGATGGTATCTGCCGTGTGCATGTCAATGTGTGAATCTGCCATTGTTTGGGAAGCCGAGCCGCTCCCAGTTGTTTTGATGGAAGTCATCTGCACTTAACACACAGAAATGTCTCTGCTGCTTCTCACCCTTGTCCCCAAGTGCCAGAATCAGCCAGGAACAGCAAATTCCCTTTGAATAAAGCCACGGGAGGGAGATCCTGGTGGGCCCTGGCTGTTCCTGCAGCTGATTTCTGCTCACAGCCTCACTTCACACTGTGCAGTGCTCTTAGATTCACGAGCTGTGGCATCAGCAAAGGTGTCAAATAAAGTCTTTCAAACCCYTGTCCTGGCTGTGAAATGTGGTGTTGAAGTGATTCTGATCTGCTCATCCAGCCTGCCTGGATCATRGAAGGAAGCTGTGAAGGTGAGTAGTTTTGTGGCAGGTTTTGATTCCTGAAAAGCTTAAAAAAAGAAAGGTAAGATGCAGCTTGCAATGTGCCATCCCCTCTGATTGTTTTATAGCTCTTGATGACTCCAGCCCAAGACTTTTTACTTTGCAAAATGAGTCAGAATCAGCCAGGCAGCCACCAAGGCCTGCCCTGAGACTGGCAATAATTCAACACTCGAGAAGAAATAATTTAATGTAGGGTCTACAAAAATGTCAGGGAACAGACGGGGTCCAGCAGAGCCTGGCAGCCAGACACTGAGAGCTCGCCTCGGTCTCCTGACCCTTTGCAGGCAGGACCAGAATAACCTCTGTGGCATCTCGCTGTCGGGAAACGCCTTGGACTAAAYAAAAATCCACAGCCGAGAGCCTGTCTCTGTTTTGAGGAAAGGACCAGTAAACGCTCCCCCTCGTGAAAGATGCTTGGGAGAATTTTCTGGAGAATGGTGGGAATTCAACTTCCTTTCCCATAACTCCTTCTCGCTGCAAAATGCCTTTCAAAACCACCCATAAATCCCTTCCTTAAGTGCTGTGTGGGGAATTGCTGGAAGGGAGCAACTGCAGCTGTGATGGAGTAATGCAGCATCCGTCTGGAAGCGGGGAGAAACTTCAAGAGCAATAATAAGGCTATTGATGACGGCTCGTCCCGCTGGTGCCTGGGCTGCCCTGACCCGGCTGGAGGCGGCGGTGGGAGCTCAACACTCCGCTGTGGCCCAGGCCAGAGAGAGAGAAAAACCAAATTACCCTCCGTGGGAGGCAGGCAGGCACACAAACCGGCCCCGCGGGCTACAGTGGTAAAACAAAACAGAGACAGTGGAAAAAAAACACTTCCTGATCTCGGCGGATCAAACGGGAGCCGGGGTGGGTGGAAGGGCATCGGTTCAGGCCCGTGGGGTTTTCTCCCCACWGCAACGCGGTGATTACAGAGCAGGAGCTCGGCACTGCAGCTTCATTTTATTTTTTTTTYCCCAGGGTTTTCTTTAGCCCAAACGTCTCCTCTAATATATCCCGGCGACTTTTGATCTACCCTGCAGGGGAAATCCCCGAACTCTCCGCGCACTCCCTTCATCCTTGTTCTTCAGGCAAAAACAAAATCCTCATGGGGAGGCCTGTGGGAAGGCGTGGGCTGGGGCTGCTKGGTGGCACARCAAGGSTGGAAAAAAACATGGTCCTGATGGRGGAGACAGGGACAGGGACACTCCCAGGTTGTGGCAGATCTGTTGGGCAGCAGGTGCTTCAGGAGCGAGTCCTGCTCTCCCAAATTCTCTCATGGAAAATGTTGCTTATGCCAGTTCTGCTGCCGCCTGCCCTGGGCGAAACATCTTCCCTTCCTTTCTGTTCGTGGAGCAATCCCGCCCTGCCATCTGCTGGTGAAATCCCAAAGCCGAGGAGGAGAAATCCTACACCGGGGCCAACATTTGGTTGAAACCCCGCCATCTGTGCTGAGAATCGGGTGATCTTTTATGATGCCCACCGGTGASCGAGGTCCAGCTCAGATAAACGGGAGCAGAACAGCTTGGGAGGCTTCTGGATGACGGGTGGGTCATCCATCCCGATGGGGATGGATGGGCAAGATGAAGATGTTAACAGATGTCAGCTCTGCTCCAGGCGTTGCTGAAGGTCCTGACAGAGCCAGCTGGGAAGATCTCAGGTATCGCAGGCCACGGAGGGCAGTAAGAGCAGTGCGGTCCCTGGGGCAGGTTTGTATTCCCCAAACAATCATCGGGAGTAAAAAGGATCGAGGAGGACACAGGGCCGTGGCTGCCTGCACGGCRTCCCCTGGGAGGGAACACAAATGTCACGAAATATGTTTCAAATCAAAGCCGTTCACAGCGGAGCCGCAGCGGCTGCTGCAGCCAAAGGGCGTTTAATGTGGAAACACGCTCTTTTGAGCTGAGCCGTGTTTTGACTTCAGCTGTCAAAGCAGGAGATGAACGCTTCCCCAGCAAGATGCCGGTGTCAGTCCATGGCTTCCCGGCGGAGGAGGCGCCAGCTGTGAAGGACCCAGCACAAAACAGTGGCAGGCGTGATCCCACCAGTGCTCTTGGGAGAATGAAGAGACTGGGAGGAGGAGGATTTGTGCCACTGGTGTTTTTCAAGGCAGAAAATACTGCAAATCATCACAATTTGCTATTTTTATCTTTATTCTGCTGCTCTTRATTGTTCCACTGTAAGGAAGGGGTRAGTATCACATCCCATCTTTATGATAATATCATATCCCACTTTTAAAGCGGATTAAAGCTGATTTAGCGTAGGATTGAAAAGCCACAACACCCAGCTCACCACCCTCTGCAGACAATCTTAGTCCCCCATAACAGGACATCCACAGAGCCTGAAGGTCACGGATGAATCACAGAATCCGTGTCCTCACGCTCTGCTGAAGATGCTGCAAACAGATAATTACGGGTCTCCCTGGAGCTGAT